ACTGTTCTTGATACATAGACGTTCGGGTGAAAGAGTTGAAGATAACCAGAGGCAAGGAAGCCTGTCTCATCTGCACAGAAGCTGAGCTCATTAGGAAGCAGAATGAGGATGAGAAAAGGTAGGAGGAAAGAAATGGCAGAAACACTAGTAATCGTGGGAAAAGACCGGAACAGGGCAAATACCAGACATTTTCAAGATGAGAAGAAATCTGAGTTGAGGTAAAAAATAAAAAGTTTTTTTTTTTTTTAGGCAGAATCAAGAGTGTATATGTAAGGGAATCAAATAGAAATGCTGTATTATCAGTGCATACGATGGAATCTGTAGGGTCAGAAGAGAAGCATGGCTTTACTAGACAAAGGCTAGAAATACCAAACCATCCCAGTAAGGTTCCGAATATTAAATAGGTTCTGAATATTTCCTTCTGAAAAAATGGAAAGGGGAGAGGGAGGGAAAAAAGATAATGATACAGAGGGATGTCTTATATATTATTTACTAAGATAGAAGAGAAAATCAAATTCAATAAAGTGAAGATTGACTTATCAAACCAAGGCCAACATGGGGATTAATAAAATACAGATTTCAGTGAGATTGTGCCCTAGCACTTATTTTTAAAGCCATGCTTCAAAAAGGTTGCATTCATGAGAATTATAGATAATTTTTATCAAATCACAGGAACAGACACTAGTAATGTCAAATGTTTATGTTCTTAGATTATCACTTAATACTTATGTTTTTAAGATTAGCCCCTGGGTCACCTTGGTGGCTGAGTCGGTTAAGCCTCCGACTCTTGATTTAGGCTCCTGCGGCATCAGGCTCCTCGGCTGGGCGTGGAGCCTGCTTAGGATTCTCTCTCTCCCTCTCTCTCTGTCCCTCCCCCACCATCCCACTCTTGTGCTCTCTCTCTCCCTCTTAAAAAAAAGAAGAAGAAGATGGTCTTTGGATTTAACCAAACTGAAAAAAAAAACCCATAAACCTTTAAGCTTTCGTGGGAATGTTAGGGCTCTAGGATTTGAAGCAAAGTGATCTTAAGAACCCTCACATGGCTTTTCTCATCTGCAGATTGTTTCTCGGTGTCAAGCGAAAGCATCTGTCTTCCATTCCAACAGACTTGTCTTCCCTGTTCTTATTTTACTTTTCTGTTTCATGAAGTAGAGACAGTATACAGTCATGACCCTTTTACAATTGGAAAAGGCATTTCTCCAGCAATTTTCTTTTTATAATTTTGAGCTAAATTTTGCTTCTGTGTTCTCTGATCAGATATTTGCCTTTCTCTACATACAGGTTCTTTTCTCTACCCCACCTCTAACTTAAGGGTGACCTCACCATCTAGGAGATGTTTTGTTTTGTTTTGGGTATTAGGTATTTTAGGATGACAGTTCTTCAAAACTGATTCCCAAAAAAAGCTCCTAGGTTTATGATGTCTTAGACCAATTATTAAGTGGAATTGAAGATTCTGCCTTAGTGATTTCATCTTATTCATTGAATGGGCTGATATTAGTGGTATATGCTTGGAAGTTGGCTTGTAAGCCTTGACCACATGTTTTAAGAAAGAAGGCAGGAGTTCAACTCTAAGATATGCAGTGTATCAGAGGTAGAAGAAAGTCTACATATGCCTCTTGTTTTAATTCTAACGAAAAATGACCCCACTATATAGACTTCTAGCTCATTTTAGAGAAATGAGAAACCTATAAATAAATGTATGAATTGTTTAAAGAAGGTATGGAGTAGAACTTTAGATTTGAAGAGGAAAAACGTGGGTCAGCAGCAGGATTGGCTATATAATTTGGGGGCCCAGTGCAAAATAAAATGTAGGGGTTTTTGTGCAAAAATTAAGAAGTTCAAGACAATGATAGAGCAGTCAACCAAACCTGGGGCCCTTCTGAGCATGCAGTGCTGTGTGACTGTGCAGGTCACACCTATAAAGGCTGCTCTGGTCAGAAGTTGAGATGTGGGTGGGGCACCTGGCTGGCTCAGTCAGTGGAGCTTGGGACTCTTGATCTCGGGGTTATGAGTTCAAGCCCCACATTGGGGTAGAGAGTACTTTAAAAAAAAAAACAACAGAAAAAAAAGCTGAGATGGGAATAAAAAGGAAAAGGAATGATCTATTTTTCCAGCATGTTTCCCTCTCTGTATCTATCCCACTCTTCCCTGTGTACTCATCACACGTGACCACCTCTCAAGTGGGCACTACTGGGCCAGTTGGCTAAGACACTAACACTTTAACTCTAATCCATGGGGGAGAGAGCAGGAGAGGGTGGTCTCATTCTACCAGTGGTGGGGTCGGGGGTGTGGGGTCGAAGTTCTGCTGACCTGACATAGGAGAGAAAGCATAAACTTGGGACCTCTACTACTTTCCAGCAGCGTATTAAAGTTACTTAGCTGCCTTGCATCTAATTTGTCATAGCTGTAAAATGGTGAAGTCTACCTTACAGGGTCACTGTATGGTGTAGAGATAATGTGGAAAATCTTAGCACGGTGGCTGGGATGCAATGAGAGCTCAATATATGTTGCATATATGGTTTTTGTGTGTGCGAGTGAGGAGAGGTACTGAGGATGGGTGAAAAGACCTCAAGTCTCAGATGGGGTGGAGGATCTCAAAATGCTTGAAGGGCGTCCTAGGAGCTGGCTATTTCTCTGCTTCCATCCTTAGTGCCCAAGGACCTTGTAATGGTTTACAACTCATTCAATTGCATCTTCTTCCCAAACAGGGCAAGGAACAATCTGTGGGAAGTCAGTACACACTAGAGTTCAGTCTCCAATACTGAAAATTTGCCAACTCTCACCCGCACTGTAGCAATGAGAAAGCAGCTGTGGGCAGCAGTGGAGTGAAAGCCATGGGGTCACCGGGATACATTACACTTACAGATGTTCCATTGTTTGCCCTGAGATTTTGTAGTTTGCCTGTTTTGTCCAGTTAGGTTTCCCTGATTGGCAGAGGATAGAGCCCAAACCCTTTTCTGTAGTTTTTCCACTTTGTTTTGATTTATTATTTGTTGTTTACAGTATTATCTCCAATAACAATGATGGAATTTCCTTCCCTACTAATCTGGCGGGTTTCCATTGTGCCTGTTTATTTTAATTTCCTTTTTTTGGACTGAAACCTCCACATGACTTTGCTTTGTTTATTTCCTTGCCTGTATGTGTCAGCATCATTTATTAGCATATCCTCTCACATGAACTTTGTTCATTAATTATGAAGGTTTTGTTTCCTGCTTCCTAGTAGGACTGTATTCAGTGCTGCATGTGTGTAGGGACTGCGGGGTGGTTTTGGTTAGCAGTTTCCTCATCATGGCTCTCTGCAAGCAGATGGCTTTCTCTCCACGGTTTCCAGATGGAGCGTGTGAGGCAGAGAAGGAAGTCTGCTGCCGAAGAGGCTTTTCTCAAATCCTCTGACCAACCAACGCTGCTCCGCTTATCAATACTCATTTCTGTTTACTTTTACTTGGGCAGTAGGTTATGTGAGCATAAGACCTGCTTTTTTGCAGATGTGCTCCATTCCCTGAAGACATTTCCATGAAAACTAGTCTGTTGTTAACTAATGAGCAATTAGCTGCTTAGGGATACATGATGAACGTTAGACTTGGCTCTTTCTCATGAAGACCTTACAGCCCACTAAATAAATCAATAAAAAGGCAAAAGAGAAGAGGTAATTTGACTTTTACATCTGTTATTTGAATATATTGGATCTGCTGCCCCATTTTCACCAGATTCTCATGATTTACTGAGTTAACTAATTCATCAAACATTTGTTTAGTACTTACTCTGTATATGATGCCATCTCTAGTGTCAAGATTCTTAAAAGACCGGAAGGTGGAAATAGAGTTGAAAGCAAATAAATATAATGAAGTGTTACAGGTGGCACAATAGACATCTTTCCAGAGTATCTAGAGGGAGTAACAAAGGAGGAGGGGGGCTTTATTCCCTTGGAGTGGGGGGTAGGAGAAGATGTCACAAACAAAGCCTAAAGGTACTGGATGTATTTGAGATGCATATGTACCTTCAGAAGGCTGAACCGGTGGCTGAGGAGGCAGCAGGGTATGGTGGAGGAAGGGAGGGCCGTGGTTGCCATTTTGAGGAGTTAGGATTTTATTCTCTAGGGAAAGTTTAGGTAGGTGGGACATCATTATCAGATTTACTTTTAAAAAAAAAAATTACCCTGAGAAGGATAGATTCAGGTGGACTTGAATGGAGGCAAGGAGATTCCTTACGACAAGATGGTGTGGAGCAGGCACCATGTGATTTCAAACCAGCCAGGGGCGGGTGGGAAAGATGTCAAGGAAGTAGACTTTATAGAATTGGTATCAACTCTAAAATATTGTCTTTACAGCAACTGCTGCTGAAACTAAGGCTCAGGAAAGTAATGCAGCTAATAAATGTCTAAGGGACTATTTTTCTGTGTTTCCATTGCAGTTTGAAAAAAATGATGATTGTGGCATTGAGCACACAATGCAGTAATATACCATATTGTGATTACTTTTTTACAACCCTTTCTGCCCGAGACATTACACTTCTTAAGGTTAAGAGCCAAACTACCAAATGATTTTTGTATGCCTAGCATGGAGCCTCGAATAAACAAGTACCCAATAAGTGTTTGAAGAGGAAAACTCCTGATGCCAGTACTTCTTCCACATGCAACACATGGGCATGGAAATATGAAGAAACTTGACTCAGGCTTCTCTTACATGCACCCATTTCCATCTCGCCTCCTGAGGGGGCCAGAGCAAAGTGACAAATAGGGATAATAGGCAGATGATGCTTCTTCCTTTGCTGTAAAATTTCTATCACCTCATCAGAATGCACCCCTGCCTTCAGAAGCCTGCATTAAAATAACAATAATGAATATTTAAAATATAAAAAGGGGCCATGAAAGTTGATGTCTGTTGTGACACCTTCCTCAGTGGTCTCATTATCCACAAATAAAGCATGAGAATTTGCTTTCATATCTTTTTTTTATGGTAATTAATGTTTTAACCTGGATCACACTTTATTCTTCCTCACAGATCCGTAATGCCTCCTGTCTGGCTCTTTCAAGATGGAGGATAAACCTGTGGGAGAGCCGATGCAAGTGGTGTCTAAATTCAAACTTTCCAACAAGGTAGAGAGCACAGGACACTGGTTGGTGGAAGATCATGCTCGGATATGGGAAGTTTTAAAGACAGAGGAGGTAAGACAACTCTAAATGACTCAGTTGGTACAATGATGGATTTTCTTTGACTTGAGACTCTAGTTCTTAGTGTGGTGAGCACCACAGGCCAGCTTGGCAAATTTTTAATTCAGGGGCCAACCATGAATGGAGAACAGTAAGTTAGGAGTGTATTCCTTGGACATTAATAACTCCACAGTGATTTAGCCAAAAGAGGTGGCACTGACAGGTAGGGCTTAAAACATACAGGTAGACATTCTCCTTGTAGAATCCTGCCAATCCTAAGTGGGAAACAAAATCATGGTGAGAAAGTTAATTCCTAAGGATCAATCATAACAAGTGGAATTATATAGATTCATTGTTTGATAGCATGAGGCTCAGTGTATCATTAGGGCTCTTTGGTTTCCAGGAACAGAAATTGATTCTGACTAATTTAAGCTAAATGGGAAATTACTGGAGGATGTTGGGAGGCTCACAGAATTGATGGGACGCTTTGAAAACTAGGCTTGGAAAGAAGACAGGAGCCAAGTCAGTTAGAACTGCTCAGGGCACTATTCCTGGTATAAATTCTAATCTTTCCCCCACCCTCTCTTTATTCTCACATGTATCTGCTCAAGATGCAAAGCCATGGGAGAGGCGGGGCTCACTGCCAAGCTCAGTCACATGTCTTTTTCCTGGTTATTCTGTAAAGAGAAAAAGAATCTTCCATGAGAGATCATTATAGCAAGTCCTCACAGCACTTGTGTTTGGAGTCCAAATGTCTAATATCCACATGTTGTGACAATTCCAGTTCAAGAAAGTAACTTAACAAGTGCAGTCTTAAACATGAGAATACTGCCCAAGCAAATGTAAACCCTCTCTGTAGGGATACTTGCCCAACAGATTTTTTTTTTTTTTAAAGGAATAAAACTCCACAGAGAGCAGCTGAAGACTCTACATAACCCATCTAATAGGACCAAGACTCGGGTCAGATAAGTGAGGTGCCGAGGGCACAAAATTTAAGGAAGCACTCACTCTTAGATTTATGTCCTGCATTTGCACGAACTTGAGAGTTAATGCATCCTTATATTTTGAAGTGCCTTGCTTGCCTCACCCTTGTGCTGGTTCTGCCACCCAATTTTATTCTTCTCCCTCTTTCCCCCAGGTTATCCCTTTCCTGAATTAGGCATTCACCATTCTTATGCATATTTCAATATGTATAGTACATACCTGTTATCCACATATCCAATATATAGTATTGATTTATATCTTTTCAATTTTGTATAAGTTTTATACTATATATCTACTTCTATAGCTTCCTTTTTTTTAACATTTGGTTTCTACCTTATCTGTTTTCTGTGGTTGATTCGTGTAGTTCTAGCTTATTCATATTTTACTGTTCTTTATATTCTGTTGATTGAATCAAATTTGTTTATCTGTTCTCTTATTAACTTTCAGGTTTTTTTCAGTACAAGGTAGTGTAGTACATTTCTTTAGCATAGACACCTGGAAGTGGCCTGCTGGATTATAAAGTATGAAAACCTTCAGTTTTACTAGTTATTATCAGATTCGTTTCCAAGATGAGGACATAAGTTTATATCCCCACTAGCAGCATATGAGAATTCCCCCTGCTCTGTATCTTCATCAGTTACTGATTTTGTCAGACCTTTAAATACTGGCTGATCTGATTGTTTTGAAGTGGGATCTTATTGTTTTAACATGAATTTTCCCATATGGATAATCAATTATCCCAGCACCATTTTTTAATGTCCATAATTTCTTCTTTAGTTGGTAATGTTCTCATGTATCATATTTCTTTACATACCCTCTCTGTTGATGTAACACTCCCTCAACTGTTTTAGCTTTAAAGGAAACATGGATATCTAATTGGGCATGTCGCTCCACTGAATTACTGCTCTTCAAAATTGTTTTGGCTGTTTTTGGAACTTATATTTTTTATATGAATTTAGGATGAGCTTGTTAGTTTCCATGAATACGAAGAAAAAGCAAAGTCTGCTGGAAATCTGATTGAGATTGAAATATGTTTGTTGATTAATTTGGGGAGTATCAACATCTTTATGATATTCAGTGAATATCTTGTCTAATTATTGACTTTAACGGGCATGCTTCAATAGTTCACCCTCACTATTTCTCCAGTATTTTATCCTATATGCCTTTGCTGTAAGATTTTCGTTAACTAAGATCAAGGAAATTTTTCTTTTTCTTTTCTTTTTTGTTAAATGTTAATTTCTTTACATTATATTTGATATCTACAAAATAACATACATGTAAGTTATACAGTATAATATTAAAACAGATACTTGTGAGTTCACAGAGAACTTAAGAACTACAACTTTGCCAATTTGTTGAATACATATGTGGACTCTTCCACATCCTATCCCCTTGACTCCTTTCCCTGCAAAGTTAACCATTTTCTTGAAGTCTGTGTTTGATCATTCTTTACCTTTTTAAAAGTTTTTATAGAATATATATGTATCCCCAAACAATATTGTTTAGTTAAATAAACTAGTTATTTCATCTTATATGTATGACACAGATCTGATTTCTTTGGTGACTCACTTCTTTCACTCAACATGTTTCTAAGATTTTTAGTAGTAATTCATTAATTTTTACTGTTGAATAATATGCCATTATGTGGTTATGCCATGATTTATTTATTCATATTTATGTTCATGGACGTTTTAATTATTTAGTTTTTTGCCATTATGAGCAATCTGCTAAGAACATCCTTATACATGTCTGTGCCCTGGTATAAGTGTTCCATGCGTAAGAATCTTTCTAGGTTAATACCTATTAGGTGAATTTTGTAGTTGGGTATGTGCAAGTTATGTTCTGCATGTTATTGCCGTATTGCCTTCCAAAACAGGACCAATTTACACTCCCACCAGCAGTGCATAACATTTATCTTATTCTACATCCTTTCCAACTTTTGTAATTGTCAGATTTCTTAATTTTTTCAATCTAGTTGGCATAAAATAAAATCTCATTCTTTACTAATCAATTCTTGATATATATCACTCCACCTTAGATAATCTCTCTTTTTAGAATTTACTTTTCTGAGGGTCTAACTAAAGCAAGATTCTTTCTTTTCTTTTTTCTTTTTGTCTGAAGATGCCTTTATTTTGAGCCTACTCTTAGAATGATAGTGTAGATGGGTTACTTTCTAGGTTACTTTCTTTCAGTACATTAAAAATATTCCATTGTTCTCTGCCTTCCATTGTTTTTGTTGTAAACTAGCTAAAAGTCTAATTTTTTATTCCTTTGGATATAATGTCTTTTCTAACTAGCTAGATCTTCTCTACATTTTTGCTGTTTTGTAGTTTCATTCTTCTGTGTTGAGGTGTGGGTTTCTTTTTATTTAACCTCTTGGAATTCATAGGGCTTCCTAAATATATGAATGCTGTCTTCCATCAGTCTGGAAACATCTCTGTAATTTTCTTTTCAAATAATTGCTTTTGCTTCATTTTACTTTTATAACTCCAACAAGATTTATGTTTGTTTTTCACACTCTTTGCTTATGTCCCTTAACCTCTCTTTTGGAGTTGCTATATTTTTTTTCCTCTCTGTGTTGTATTTTGATTAATTTTAGATCTCTTTTACAATTCACTAATTCTTTCTTCAGTTCTATTTAATCTGCTCTTTAACCCAACCATTGAGTTTTAAATTTCAATTATTCTATTTTTTACTTCTAGAAGTTCTGTTTTGTTCTTTCTAAAATTTTCTAGTTATTTTTTAATGTCTTGCTTTCTATTCCTATTTTTTATTTTTGAAGGCGATTTGTCAAGAACTGTGAAGGCTATGAGATCTTATGCTATTTGCAAGTTAGCTTGCCAAAGTTATAGATACTGAAAGAAGACATGAGATTCCTTTGTCTCAGAGACAGAAGAAATAGTAGCCGGAGTGTCAGCATGTTTTTATTGGTTCCTTATGTCACAGTTCCTCCAGGGCCTAGATACCTGCCTGCACAGGAAAGGATCACTGACTTTGGGAAACTTTCCAGTTTATAGTAGACAGTAAGTAAGCCTGCACTTTCTCCTAATGGAAGATATTACCTTATCCTTTAAAGTTAACAATAGGCTGCAAACACAGGCCTGAAAAATGATCTGGGTAAAGATCAGCCAGACCTTGATCTTTTGGCACAGAAATCAAGACATACAGAAACAAGAGAGACTCATGGAGGAGTGTTTCTCAACAATATTAAATATAATAGTCTAATATTCTGAGTTGGCAATTCTAATAACTGTGGATCTTGTTTTGCTATCTGTTCTTTCTGTTGCCTTTTGCACATGATGTTTTGTTTCTTTGTGGTTTTATGATTTTTGACTGTGGGTTCATTTTTCTTGGAATGAAGGGAGCTTTCTCTGTTGAAAATTTGCATTTACTTCTGGGAGCACTACCAACTGGAAGTCACTTTAAAGTAAATTCTTAGCTTGAAGTTTTTCAGACTACTCAATGTGAATACAGGCTGAAAGCCTGTGGATGGGTGTATTTGTGATAATTAGTTCCAAGGGGAATTGACTCCTCCCTTCCCAACGCACCCCTGCTCCTGTTCAGCACCATATTTTAAGATAAGCAACTTTCCTGGTATTGTTGTGGAGGGCATGTCATTCTTGGTTCATCTTAATACAGAGGGAATAACATTTTGGGGGGTCCTAGTTTTATGCAGTGGGGATTCCCTGTAGATTCTCTCTCTTGAGCCAGTCCTCGTTTTGTCTGTTAGTCCCTGTGTCATTTAAAGTAATAACCTATATTAGTTAAAGTAACACTAATGCTTTCTCAAATATAGTCAAAAATTTAAGTGGCTTAACACAATAAAAGTTGATTTCTTAATCACATAATAGTCTAACACTTGAGTTCATTTTTAAAGGAAAAGCAAACATTAGCCCAGCAAATGGGATTTCAGAAGAAGAATGAGAGAACAAATATTCCTGGAAGAGGGAAAACTGTGTAAAGGTATATTAGAGAGAATGTTCTGTAGTTTGGAGTATTTATAGCAGAAAAGGCATGGCAAGAGATGAAGC